TGAGCCCTGCTGTGGGGCCTGGGGTGGGCAGAGGATGGCATAGGAGGAGACCACGCTGGGCAGGGGCCCTGGGGCTGCCACCTGTCACTTCCTCTGACCACCTTTATTCAATGTAGATGCATGGTTGACGGGTTGTCTGCTCCCTTCCAAACAGGGAAACTGAGACCCTGGGAGAGAAACTGCTCTGTGTTCCTGCTGGGAGGCTGTGCCACTTACAGAAGGCTAGGACCAGGGAGGGCACCAAAGCTGTCCCTTGGGATATCTGAGAAAGGCTGTGACATGAGGACAGACCCTTGTCCAGGGTGTGCCCCACCCTTCTGCTTTCCCACCACACCCAGGGCTGCCCAGGAGAGCTGGTAGGTGGGGTCTGTGCCCTGGGAATGGCCCTCCTGGGGGGCTGCTACAGTCACTGAAGTTGGCCAAGGGCTTCTGCCTCTGCCACTCGGGCCCCAGTGTATGAAATAGGGTCAGGAGCGCCATTCAGGCTGGGAAGAGGAAATCCCGTACACTAGTATGGATGACCCCGGAGGCCCGTGATGTGATGCATTCGTGTCACGAGACGACGGACACCGCTGTGATTCTGCTCCTGCGTGTGTTCAGTGGTCACGTGCAGAGACAGAAAGTGAAGGCAGCTGCCAGGGCTCGGAGGCCCTGGGGAGCTGGCCTCTAGCGGGGACAGCATTTCTGTGTCACAGGTGCAGAGGCCTGTGGTGGCTGGGCTGACCTGGGCCCTACACACACTGCCCCCACAGTGCGAAACCACCCAGGAAAACACTGGGCCTCCTTGGGCTCTCACTGGGGAGCTGCTGAACCCCACCCACCCAGTGTGTCCCTGTGTGGGGCTCCTTCCTCCCTCCCTGTAGCTACAGCCCTTTCCTGGGCAGGAAGCCTGGCTGGCCCTGCCTAGGCCACAGACACCTGAAACTGCCCGCTCCGCACCCAGGCCCACGCCTATCCGCCCAGGTGGAGCTCGCATCCTGTCCCCTTCCTTCCACGCTGTCATCTTCCTCTAGAAGCACTTCTGTGTGCTGTGCACACCTGTGCACAGGAGCATCTGGCCTGTCCCAAGGGACATGGAGACTGGGGCAGGGGAGGCAGTCATATCACCCCAAACTACCTCCTGCCCCACCCTACCCCTGCTGTTTTGCGTACATGTGTGAATATGGGGACCAAACACAAGGCCTTGCTCTAACACTAGGCTACATCCCAGCCCTTATTTTTGTTTTGGCTTTAGGTCCCCCTAAATTCCCCAGGCTAGCTTTGAACACGTGATCCTCCCGCCTCAGCCTCCCAAGTAGCTGGGACTGCAGACAGGCACCACTAATGCCCTAGAGACGAGCAGTTCCGTAGACTCCTGTGAGCGTCCCTGTGAGGCTGCTGCTGTGCCTGCTGTGTGTGGAGGGTCTCCCACTGTAGGCCAGCAGGGAGCTTGCTGCTATTCCCCAGGGGACTCCCGCTCAGCCCTGGGCTCAAAGAGAAGGTCTTTCGCCCCCAGCAGGAGCCACTCCAGCACAGGGCCTGGTCCTCCACACCCCAGAGGATGGAATTCCTGGCTTTGGTGCCTGTACCTTCTTTCAGGTCTCCCCCAAGGCCCTATCAGAGAGGGCCAGTGACTTGTCCAGAGCCACATAGCGGGGGTGTGGAAGCAGCGCATGGACAGCTGGGGGTGGCTCTCTGAACAGGCCACCTCCACCAAGCAGCCTGGCCCAGAACTGGGCTGAACTCTAGCCTGGTCCTCCGTAGCTCGTGACCAGCCCTGTGCTCTGCCTCTAGACATCTGCATCCTCTGACCTCTGACTGTTGGGACCCCAAAATGGGGAACATACCTCACATGTGTTCTGCCTCCCTGAGGACCCAGCCATGGGCTGGACAGAGTTCAGGATGCCTTGAGACCAGGGCTGGGGAAGCGTCAGGCAGACGTAGGTGGAATGAGTCGCTGCCTACTGCGGGCAGGTAGCCTTCCCTTTGAGCCCAGGTCCCCTCACTTGCACAGGGCTTGTGAACACATCTGCCTCCCCTGGGAGGGCAGGGCAGAGGCCACTCCCCACTAGGAGGCTGGCCATCACCTGAGATGTTTGTCCCCACCCTCCCCTCTCCCTGCCCCCCTACCCTGCAGCCAGCAAGTTGGGTGGGAACCATGAGGTGGAAGCCACATCCTGCCTCCCAACAGCTGCCCCCACCCGGTGCCCGATTGCAGTCCATGCCAGTCTTCTGGGATCTTGGGGCAGGCTAGCGCATGCCGTGGGCCCTCTCCTCTCACCCCTCCTCCCTTCCGGTCCCCACACTGTGGCCACGCCTGCCCCAGTGAGGCCTGAGGGAACCGGGAAGGAGGGCCAGGAGGGTATCTCATCAGGAGGCTGCTGTGTGATTCAGCAGGCCTTGCCGCCTGGCCCGGAGAGTCCCTTTCCCAGGAGTGTGGGTGGTGTGTGGAGCCAGCTGGTCATTAGAGGGCTGAGGCCTTCCTGTGGGGTGGGCCCAGGCACAGGCCCTGGCTGAGAGGCCAGGCTCGTGAGGGGTGCTGACCCTTGCCACAGGGGAGGAGTGTCTGCTGGTCCCCAGGTGACCTGAGCTCTGGCTACCCCAGGGATGGGGAGGTGGGGTGTCTGGGGCCTTTAGAACACCATCTCCTTTACTGGGCACCCAGGGCAAGAGGTTGGCAAGTCCTTCTCAGCCTTGTCTCTTGATAGCTGCATCGAGGACTGTGACCCTGAGCCATCTGTCATAGGGACCTAGGGCCTCAGGGCATCAGCAGGATTGTGGGGAGGGGTCCTTTCACACATGCAGGTCCTCAGCCACTTCCAGCTCCCTCATTGGGCCAGGTCTGCCTCCTCCTGGCCTCCCACCTATGCCTGTGTACCCTACAGAATGGGAGCCTTGGCGCCTGTAGAGTCCTGTGGCAAAGGGTTCGCCACTGTTAGCACAAGCGGCATGGTCACTGAGACAGTCAAGAGGCCTGTCCCTCCCTTAGGAACCTTCCTCCTCTCCCAGGTGTCTTAGTTACTCTTCTCTCGTTGCTGGGACAAATACCCAACACTCAAAATGAAGGAAGGAAAGGTTTATTTAGCTCACAGCTACTGGAGGGTTCAGTCCATACTCAGCTTGGTCCAACACAGAGCAGCACAGAGCAGAAAGCAACCTTTCATGGTGGTGGCAAAGAGCAGGAGCACAAGGGGGGCTGGAGAGATGGCTCAGTGGTCTAAAGCACCTACTTAGAACAAGCTTAGCAAAGCACAGGGACCGCGGTTCAATCCCCCAGCACCACATGCCAGCCAGCCCGGCCCCCTGGTGGGCTGAGCTGGCCACACACAAAATAAATAAATAAAATTAAAAAAAAAAAAGAGCAGGAGCACAAGGGAGGGGTAGCAGCAGCTCAAGCTGCTAGCTTCTCTTCCTTCCTTACATTGTAATGTAAATCGCCTGCCCCAGGGCAGGGGCAGCAGCCACACCCACAGTGATCAATCACAAACTCCAGAAGCCACCCCAAGACTGCATGAGGCTTTGGGGGGACACCTAGACACAAACCATAACACCAGGAGAAACAAACCCATCTAGCACAGGTTTGCAGAACCTGGTGTAAACCCTAGATTTTGGGCTAGAAAGTAGTACATAAAGGAAAAGCAATTTTTAATTTAACAAATGTACAGAAAGAGCTAGAAGGTTATTTTCTTTTTCTTTGAGACAGAGTATTTCTTTGTCATCTAGGCTGGCCGAGGGCTGGCCTTGAGCTCACACTGCTCTTGCTTCAGCCTCTCAAATGGGATTACTGTGCCCAGCTCAGGAGGGTATTACACAAAGAGGGTTAGTACACAGTGGCACCTCCCTGTAGTCCCAGCTACTCTTTGAGGCTGATTCAGGAAGATCCCAAGTTCAAGATCAGCCCGGAGATCTGTCTCAAAATTAAAATTTTAAAAGGGTTGGGACTTAGCTCAGTGGTAGAGCATTTGCCTAGCCTGGGCAAGATCTGCTTCAATTGTTGCTACCACAACAAAGAAAAAAAGCTAACATTGGGTAGCCTTGTATTCTTCTGAATGTCCCCGGAGTGCCCATGCAAGGAAACATCCTGTTCCCTGTCATTACCGTCCTACAGACTGGTGTCAGAAGAGCCTCCGTGGCAGGGTGGTCGAGGGAAGATTCCTTCCCCAACTTGTCTGGTTGTAGTTTTCCGTCTGGCTTCCCACATGTGGCTGCTGATCCTGGGTTTCCAGCCTTGGCTAATCATTAGTGTCCTATACTCCTTGCAAGTCCAGCCAACAGGACTCCGGGAGAATCTGCTGCGGTCACCGTTTCCTGCCTTTTTCTCCACTCAGCCCTGGCGATCAGTTCCCCTTGGAGCCATGTGGCCCTGCTGCCCCTCATGCATCCCCTACCCAGGAGCGGCACATCAGCTCCCTGTGTGTGAGCCACCCATCTTTCCTAAAGCCCTGGAGCAGTTTTGGGTTTCATTAATCCCAGGACAGTGAGTTCTTAGTGAGCCCCTTTTGCGTTTTGCTCTCCTCATGCACACTGGAGAAATTCCTTTATCTCACTTGCAGCAGCTTCACAGCGGCCAGATCCAGTCTCTTGAGAGCTTTATTTATTTATCTATTTTTTGGTGGAACCAGGGATTGAACTCAGGCCCTTGCACTTGCCAGGGAAGCGCTTATTCCACTGAGCCATCTCCCCAGCCCCGCCTCTGAGAGTTTTAAACGAGCCCTCTGCATACCTCACACGCGAGCGTGAGCGGGTGCTCTTCACACAGGAACCCCAGAGCGCTCGAGGTGGAGCCAGGACAGCGAGGCTGCTGGGAGATCCCTGTGCTCCCAGTGCACTGTGTGTGTCTCCTGGGGAAACTGTCCACCCCCGGCCTGAGGTGGTTCCCTAGGCAACCGGTGACCACATGCTTTCTACTGATGGCCAATTGGTGGCCATCTGTGGAGGGGCCAATCTCTGAATCCTAAATAGACGTAAGGTGGAGTTTTAGGCAGTGACAGAATGTTTGTTGTCTTCTTCGCTCACCCCAGGTCCCAGGAATGCCAGGCCACCCTGTGGTCACCCCGCCCACGGGTCCCTCTCACCCTGAATCATGATTCCCGTGACAGAGCTCCGCTACTTTGCGGACACACAGCCAGCGTACCGGATCCTGAAGCCGTGGTGGGACGTGTTCACGGACTACATCTCCATCGTCATGCTGATGATCGCCGTCTTCGGGGGGACACTGCAGGTCACCCAGGACAAGATGATCTGCCTGCCTTGTAAGTGGGTCACCAAGGACTCCTGCAATGACTCCTTCCGAGGCTGGACGGCCCCCAGCCCAGAGCCCGTCTACCCCAACTCCACGATCCTGCCGACCCCTGACTCGGGCCCCACGGGCATCAAGTACGACCTGGACCGCCACCAGTACAACTACGTGGACGCTGTGTGCTATGAGAACCGACTGCATTGGTTCGCCAAGTACTTTCCCTACCTCGTGCTCCTGCACACTCTCATCTTCCTGGCCTGCAGCAACTTTTGGTTCAAGTTCCCACGCACCAGCTCCAAGCTGGAGCACTTCGTGTCCATCCTGCTCAAGTGCTTCGACTCGCCCTGGACCACCAGGGCCCTGTCCGAGACGGTTGTGGAGGAGAGCGACCCCAAGCCGGCCTTCAGCAAGATGAACGGCTCCATGGACAAGAAGTCCTCAACGGTCAGCGAGGACGTGGAGGCCACGGTGCCCATGCTGCAGCGCACCAAGTCTCGGATCGAGCAGGGCATCGTGGACCGCTCAGAGACTGGAGTGCTGGACAAGAAGGAGGGGGAGCAGGCCAAGGCGCTGTTCGAGAAGGTGAAGAAGTTCCGGACCCACGTGGAGGAGGGGGACATCGTGTACCGCCTCTACATGCGGCAGACCATCATCAAAGTGATCAAGTTCGTCCTCATCATCTGCTACACCGTCTACTACGTGCACAACATCAAGTTCGACGTCGACTGCACCGTGGACATTGAGAGCCTGACGGGCTACCGCACCTACCGGTGTGCACATCCCCTGGCCACGCTCTTCAAGATCTTGGCGTCCTTCTACATCAGCCTGGTCATCTTCTACGGCCTCATCTGCATGTACACGCTGTGGTGGATGCTGCGGCGCTCACTCAAGAAATACTCGTTCGAGTCGATCCGCGAGGAGAGCAGCTACAGTGACATCCCCGACGTCAAGAATGACTTCGCCTTCATGCTGCACCTCATCGACCAGTATGACCCGCTGTATTCGAAGCGCTTTGCCGTCTTCCTGTCAGAGGTGAGTGAGAACAAGCTGCGGCAGCTGAACCTCAACAACGAGTGGACGTTGGACAAGCTGCGGCAGCGGCTCACCAAGAATGCGCAGGACAAGTTGGAGCTACACCTGTTCATGCTCAGCGGCATCCCCGACACCGTGTTCGACCTGGTGGAACTGGAAGTCCTGAAGCTGGAGCTGATCCCCGACGTGACCATCCCGCCCAGCATCGCCCAGCTCACGGGCCTCAAGGAGCTGTGGCTGTACCACACCGCAGCCAAGATCGAGGCCCCAGCCCTGGCTTTCCTGCGTGAGAACCTGCGGGCGCTGCACATCAAGTTCACGGACATCAAGGAGATCCCGCTGTGGATCTACAGCCTGAAGACACTGGAGGAGCTGCACCTGACGGGCAACCTGAGTGCCGAGAACAACCGCTACATCGTCATCGACGGGCTGCGGGAGCTCAAGCGCCTCAAGGTGCTGCGGCTCAAGAGCAACCTAAGCAAGCTGCCGCAGGTGGTGACGGACGTGGGCGTGCACCTGCAGAAGCTGTCCATCAACAACGAAGGCACCAAGCTCATCGTGCTCAACAGCCTCAAGAAGATGGTGAACCTGACCGAGCTGGAGCTGATCCGCTGCGACCTGGAGCGCATCCCCCACTCCATCTTCAGCCTCCACAACCTGCAGGAGATTGACCTCAAGGACAACAACCTCAAGACCATCGAGGAGATCATCAGCTTCCAGCACCTGCACCGCCTCACCTGCCTTAAGCTGTGGTACAACCACATCGCCTACATCCCCATCCAGATCGGCAACCTCACCAACCTCGAGCGCCTCTACCTGAACCGAAACAAGATCGAGAAGATCCCCACCCAGCTCTTCTACTGCCGCAAGCTGCGCTACCTGGACCTCAGCCACAACAACCTGACCTTCCTTCCTGCCGACATCGGCCTCTTGCAGAACCTCCAGAATCTGGCCGTCACAGCCAATCGGGTGAGTGGCCTGGCTGTGCGTGGCATGTAGGCTGCGGTGCCCCATGGGGGCACCGGGAGGCCCAGCATCTCAGGACAGTTAGTGCTCCTGGGTTTGGAGTCTTTGCCTCCGGTGCCCAGAAACACGCAGGAGGATGCTTTGTCAAAATTCGGCCTCCCAGACCCTATCCCACCCCTGCCAAGTGGGGCTCCCTGGGGTAAGGAGTTACTTTTATCATAGAACTGCGGAATCCACCTGCCAGGAAGAGATCTGTGACCAGGCAGGGTCTCCCCAAGGTGACCTGGAGGAGGTTCCTTGTGGGCAGGGTTCTGCATCCACAGAGGTACACAGCCTGTGGTCTCCCTGGAGGCAAGGTAGCAGGAGGCAGGACTCAGCCCAGGCTTGCTGTATTGTCCTTAGCTTGTGCCCAACCAGATTTGAGGCCAGGAGCCCTTGTGGTCTCGTTGCTGGGGACAGAAGCTATGTGAGTGGCCTGTGCTGGCTGAGGGGGACCAGATGGTCTCTGTGTCCCTGTCCCCTCACACATTAGGGGGTAGTAAAAGGCAGAGTTGGCCTCAGACAGAGCTGGCATGTCACCAGCTACCTTTCCAGAGAGAAAATTATGCAAACCAGCGGCTGGCAGTGTCAGAGGTGGCTCCTTTGAAACTTTGGTAGTGCCTGTGTGCCACTCTTCTCTGGCTGGAAAAGCCCTCATGCCAAGGTCCCTTAGCAGAGGCAGGCAGGCTGGGGTGGTGGCCAGAGTACTCTTCATAGCTGTTCTTGGGGAAACCAAGCCGCAGCCACGGTGGGTGCTTCCTGCCAGCATCGCGGGGCCTGTAGTTATTCCCAGGCCCGCTCTCAGCTGCAGGTTCTCGCAGGAAGTGGCTGGTTAGAAGCCTGAAGCCAGGGCATGGGGAGCAGAGGGCTGATTGAGCTACTGCTCTGGGCCTGTCCCAGATGTGTCACTGCTGTCCTCTCACCAAGGGAAGCCCTTCCCTGTGAGTGTGGGCATGCTTGATAGGAGCCCCTGAAATGGCCCTGCTCCTCCTTGGCCCCAGACAGGGACACACCTCCTCCTCCATTGTTGCGAATGCGGGGTTTGGAAGCCTTCCAGCTCTGGTTCTCAGGCCCTTCCTGCTACAAACCAGCCTGCCTCTTCTGTGGCATAGGAATTGTGACAAATTTTGATGTCCCTGTCCCAAATAATGACACATCAGATCGCTGGTATGAGAATGTAAAGGCAAGGATCAAACCTTAGGCTGTCTCACTGCAGCAGGTCCCTGAGTGAGGAGATTAGAGTTCCACAGGGAAGAAGCCGCGCTTACGGAGCAGGAGCCAGGCTATAGTGGCTGGCTCTGTCACGCATCAGCTTCTATAGTGTGAGGCAGGGACCCTGAGTAGCCTCCCTGTGGCCACATGTTGGAACCTCACTACCCTTTTGGGTGAGACTTTTTTCCCTGCCACGCATGCACCACTTGGCCCCAGCTCTGGGCCTGCCTTCCTCCTGGGTGCAGGAGGCACAGTCCAGCCTCCAGCCTGGTCCCCATCCTGTCCCTACCCTGTCCCTGCCCCCGGTTCCCTGCACTAGGCTGGCCTATTAGCATCATGTCTGTTGGCTGAGGTCAGCCCTCAGGAAAGGAGCTGGCGGAGGCACTGTCCTGGAGGAAGGAGCCCCCCACCCACGCATTTGAGCACACTGCTTAATCATGTCCTGTCCCCACCCACTGGAGGGCTGGAGGCCCAGGGCTTTATTGGGAAAAACGTTCAGTTAGGCCAGTTAGAGGAGGGCCTGATCTCTCCTTCCTACTGTCAGCTCCCAGAGCTGCAGTGGACAGGGGCAGTGACAGTGGCAGCCCAAGCCCTTGGGGACTTGTCCCCTGTCTTTGTTTGACTGCTTATGCAAAGGAACACCTGACCAGGTGGGCATTCATTCCCTGCTTGTTCCCTTACTACTTGGGCAGATGCTTTCTGAGCTGTCAGAACCCAGCGTATGCCTGCCTGGCAAGTGCAAGGTCCTGAGTGTGATCCCTGGTACTGCCAAAAAAACAAACAAAAACAGCATGGCACAGGATGCTGGGGACGTGGGTTGGTCAGGGCCCCCAGATGACCGGGCAGTTAGCATGCAGGGGACCCAAGAAGGTGAACTGTCACCTGCCCTGAAGGTGGCCGTGTGAGGGGAGGAGTCCGTAGACACTGCCCTGGAATGTGGACTCTACCCCAGGCAGGGGCAGAGCCCTGCTCCAGCCTCACTGCACGGACGTGCACCATGCCCACGGGGGACCAGCTCACAGCCAGAGGAGTCATCCTCACTGGGCTCGGGTGGAGAGGGGTCCGTGACACCACCTCCTCAAAGAGAGGGGGACGGGAGTCTGCACTGAGTTGGTGTCATGCTCAGAGAGGGCGGTGGGGCTGCCCTGCCCCGGCCCCCAGCACACGAGGAGATGGGGACAGGAGAGTGGTGTGGGCCTGGGGTTGGTGTGAAGCTGGCAATGACAGATGGCGTCCAGTAGATGTGGCAGCATCTTCAGATAGTCAGGTGGCCGGTGGCAGAGCCTGGAGCAGGACGGCAGCCTTGGAGAGCTTTCTCAGGGGCCATTCTGTACAGATGGGGAGCCGGTAGGGTCCATGAGGAGGCAGAAGTGGGGCTCAGGGGTGACAGGAAAGGACTGCAAACCTCCAGTGGGCCGGGGACATTTCAGGTGGGGAAAACAGGTCCCAAGCACAGTGACTCTGGTGGTGTGACTGCTGAAGGTGCCTCCTCCTCTGTCTGCGGGGCCTGGGCAGAGCTCAGTGGTGAGGTGCAGACGTTTCTAGGGAGGGGATCTTTTGGGGAAGAGTCGGGCCACACTGACTGCCACTCACTGGGCAGGCCTTTTTCAGTAGTCCTGACCACTTTGTCATCAGAGGAGGTGACTGAGGGTAGAGTGGGCCATTCCAGGAAGCTTTGGTCCTAGCCCCTGCAGAGCCCAGACCCTTATGTCCCTCCTCAGGCGCGGATGCCACACCTGCTACTCCACATGAGCTCTGGTTACAGCAGGGGCAGTTCCCCAGGCCAGGAACAAGTCCCCTGGAAGACACTGTCAGCAGCATGCTGGGTCCTACTGCTGGCTGCCCCTGCATTCCTGCTAGGAAGCCCTGTTGCTCCGTGGGGCAAAGCCTGTGAGGTTGAAGTCCAAGACTATAAAAAGGTCATGAGCCTTAGAATGTCCAAGCTGAGGTTCGAACTCCAGCAACCTGAGGCTGACAGCTTTATGGAAGCAGAGAATGTCCAAGCTGAGAATCCTTTCTAGTCCACCACTTCAATTTTACAGCTGGGGAAACTGAGGTCCAGGGAGGGGAGGGCACTCCCTGGGGTTCCTGGAGGAAGTGGCTGCAGAGCCCAGACCTAACATACAGGTGAAAGTTACCCAGGCCAAGGCCAGGATGGCGTGGGAGCCCCAGTGGGGATGGAGAAGCCGTGCTCTTCACTCCTGCCCTCTGCTCTTCCCCCAGATCGAGGCGCTCCCCCCGGAGCTCTTCCAGTGCCGGAAGCTGCGGGCCCTGCACCTGGGCAACAACGTGCTGCAGTCTCTGCCCTCGCGTGTGGGCGAGCTGACCAACCTGACGCAGATTGAGCTGCGGGGCAACCGGCTGGAGTGCCTGCCGGTGGAGCTGGGCGAGTGCCCGCTACTCAAGCGCAGCGGCTTGGTAGTGGAGGAGGACTTATTCAACACGCTGCCACCTGAGGTGAAGGAACGGCTCTGGAGGGCCGACAAGGAGCAGGCCTGAGTGCAGCTGTGGCCAGCAGCAGCAGCAGCAGCGGCAGGACCTCAAGGCCTCGAGCCAGTAGGGCCGGGCCCTGCCCTCCCAGGACTCGTGGGCAGCCAGCCCGGCCTCGGCAGTGGAGCTGGGGCCTGGCATGAGCCAGGCAGGTGAGAGGATGGAATCTGAGGGGCTGGCCCCTCACGCCCTCTGAGACTCACTCCCCTTGGGGCAGGCGCCTGTGGGGAGACCAGAAATCTAGCTGGACTCAGAGCGCAGTATTTGGACAATCAGGGTCTCCTCCCTGAAGGCCACCTCTGTCTTAGAGGCTGCACCAACGCCAGAGGCCCAGGGACACCAAGTTAGCTCTTGGTATTTATTTTCCTCCGTCTCCCACCTCGTCCTCCAGGTAACTTATACATTCCCAAGAACATCAGCTCCATGGGAGGTGTTTAAGGAATGGTGGGCAGTCTTCCCCTTTCCTTTTTGGGTGATGCCACTGGTACCCAGTGCCCAGCCAGACTTAGTTCAAGGGTCCATAGCGACCAGGCTATACACGGTTGTCCTGACAGCCGAGGCCAGGCTGTGGCCCACGGGGAGCAGACCACCCTCGCCACCTTGCCTCGTCACTTTTTGTGGCAGTTTTCAATTTTTTTTTTTTTTAAGTCCAAGATTTTTTGTTTTGTTTTTAAACTTTGAAAAGCGATGGTTTGGGTATTAAAAAGAAAAAAAAGACACTAAAGGCCAGTGAGTTGGAGTCTCGGGGTGGGGTGGCAGTTTCCCTTGGGCAAAAGCAAGACATTGAATTCTATTTCCTTTCCCTGGGGTGCAGGCACAGGATGGCTTCCGAATCTGGTGTGACCTTGGCCCAGGAGTTCTCTTTTTCCGCTCTTCTCCTGGGGTGGGGATTTTATTTTTGTTTGTTTTTTGGTGTCTTGTTTTCTTTCTCCTCCATGGATCTTGGCAGGGACTTCTTTTGTGGCTGTTGGCCAAAGGGAATGTTCCGGAGCTGCCAAGAAGGGAAGAGGCTAGGGCTGGCTAATCCCCGGATGAACGGTGCTCCATCCTCCCCCTCTCCCTGCACCCACCCGCTCCTCCATGCGCAGTGTTACCGAGCCAAGGGGGCCACTGCACCTGGACCCTTGTTTTCCCACATCACGTGTCACGGGCTTGCTCAGTGCCACCGCCCACCTCTGCTGCTCACGTCAGCCCTGTCACCACTGGTCATTCCTGAAGAGCGGACATTCCAGGGTGGGCCAGGCACCAGGAGGTAACTGCTAGAAGGGCAGGCAAGTCTCTGGCAATTGGTTCCAAGCTCGTTTCTGTCCCGGGCACCTGGTGGTGGGAAACCACCCGCTTTAGATCATCACTCGGGTCCCACTTTAGGAGGGTCCCCGCCTTAGATCAATCACGTGGACACTAAGGCACGTTTTAGCGTCTCTCGTCTTAACAGTCATGTCCATTTGTCTGTCCATTTGTGTTTCCTGTGTGGTGTCGTCGGATGTAATCTTCAGAAATTATGCACACTAGCCTCTGCCGACCATGAAGCAATCAATCCGTTACACAGACTTGGATCAAATATCAAATAAACCTGTAACACCAAGTAGCCTTCGGAGGTCTCTGCGTCCCTCAGCATGCACAGAGGAGCCCCTTCCTTCATTGTGCGAGGCCTGCTGGGCTCTGGCTCCTCGTTTCCTGGGCTCTGCCTGGCTGGGGCCTGTGATACCCGGAGCCTCTGAGGCAGGACCTGGTGTGAGCTGGACCCGGCCAGGGACCTCATGGCCAGCACATCCTCTACTGCGCTGTGCCTGCAAGCTTTGGGCAGGAGAGGCCCGGAATGGTAGCTGGCAGCCCAAGGTCCTTGTCCCAGCTGAATCACGTGTGCAGCTGGGTATCCCCCTTCCCTCCTCGGTTGTCTGTGCCCATGGTTCTGGACGTGGGGTGGGGAGCCCCAGCCTAGCTTCTGGGCCCTCTGGGGCCCGCTGCAGGCACTAAGATGGAGGGCAGAGGCTTAGAGGTGGGCAGCGCTGCTCTCAGACCCCACTTCCACCATGTGTCTGACTCAAGACTTCAGGCCCCTCATCTGTGGGAAGGGCAGCTGCCAGGACAGTGCTGGGGGTCACCTGAGACTCGGTGGTGGGCCAAAGAATGGTCTTGTGCCACCAGAGGCTGCAAGGCCCAGGTGCAGGGTGTGCTGACGGGGTACAGCAGTCACTGTGAGCACGGGTGGCCCCTGTAGCTGACAGGCTTCCCACGGGAAAGGCGGAGCCCAGTGGTGAGCGAGGACTTGAGTACCTCCTGCCGGGCCCTCTGGACCCTCCGTCCCACACTCCTGCTGCAAGGAATTAAGGTTCCAGCAGATGGGCTTCTGGGGTGCTGATGCAAATGGCAGGAAGAGAGAGTGGTACAGTTTTAGGGGAGCCCCACACCCAGCATACTGCAAGGGTGAGAGCAAGTTTGTGCTGGCCTGGCACAGAGGTTCTGCAGCAAAGGCTGCATGAGCAAGAGGGCCCGCTGTGTCTCCCCCACCCTCCTCCTGAGGGACTTGGACCCCTCTGGGGGCGTTTGAGGCCTTAGCCATTCCCTCCTCTTCTGCCTTTTGTTGGCTCCTGGGCAAGGAGACTGAGCAGCTGGGCTGTGAGCCCCTACAGACCCCCTTTTCACTACCCCTGCAGTCTGTTTTACTTCCCTCCCTCCTAGCACCCCCTAAGCCCCTGCCACCCTATTCCAGCCTTGGGGCCCTGTGGGAGAGCTCGGTCTGGAACTGGTTAGCTCTGGAGAAAACAAGCCACGGAAACGCCGCCCACTCTTCCCAGAGCCAGACAGAGGAAAAGAGCGGGCCTCGGCCTGAAGCCACAGTGGGCTCTGGGCACAGCAGCAGTGTGGCAAACAGACCTCACAAGGCGTGAAAGCCCCACGCCCTTCACGTTGCACCCCAAAAGGACCCACTAGCATTGGGTCACCCAGGCTGGAGCGAGTCCTGGGCCAGGGCCCTGTGCCACCTTCGTGTCTTCCCCTTGTTGACAGCTTACTGGGGGCCTGGAGTCGCCCCAGGATGCACTTGGGGAAGTAAAGGCTGGACCTTAAGCCCAACTGCCTCCAGAGCCTCGCCCCAGCCTTGATGAACCCAACACGGGGGTGGGGGTGGCCCTGTCCATGGCCCCACCTGCCACAGGGCCTCAGAATTTGCTGGTGGCTGCAGTGAAGGACAGGCCATCTGGGAACACGGCCTGCCTTGTGACAGTCATGGTTCCCTCTCCTGGAGCCAGTGGGCTCACCCCCCTGCCCACTCCCCACAAGCCAGGACAAAGCCCAGTTCCCAGCGCAGTGGCCCAGTAAACAAGACTTGACCTGGGGCCAGGGCTTTTGAGCGCCGCACAGTGTCCCGTGCTTGCTCTCGAGACACTTTGTCCCTTTGCTATTCACAGTGTCATTTCTGGGAAGGCAGCGGCTGGTTTTGCATTTGCAGTGGGCCTGCTTGCCTGACTGAGGGCGAAGCTGAACATCTTGGGCCCGAGGACAGCATGGAGCCCTCCACTTCATCCCAAGCCCAGGCCCCACTTGCCCTGCTCTGCTCTCCCAGATAGCCCTCTGTCCACTGCCCGGGGGGTAGGTGTCCTTAGCTCCTGTCCCTGTCCACACAGGGCCCAGGGCTGTTAGGCAGGCACCAGGAGAGCCTGAGGCAGTTTAACCACTCAGGGCCAGACCCTGTGACCGTCCTCCCGGGCCCCTTCTCAACACCCGGATGTGGATGCCTCTTGTCTTAGGGCCTTCCTAAGCCTTGTTTTCTTCCCTTGAGGCCCAGAGAAGGGCAGACATCTGTCAGAGTCACAAGTGGTGGTGGTCCCTGGACTGAGACCACTGTCTTTGCTGGTACCCCTGCAAAGTAATTTCTGAGCATCCGGTAAGCCACCAGCCAGGAGTGGTTTCTAGAAAGAAACCCAGAGGAAGTCATTAAATACCACGAAGGAGCCTGGAGAGAGCTAATCCTGGATTAGGTGGGGACACCAGGGCAGAGTCCTGGCCCTCATCCAGGAGCACAGATAGGGTTAGACCGGAGGGGAGGGTGAGCTTGGGGGTGGAGTCCTGCCAGACCCTGCCGGGCACAGGAGGGTTAAGTGTTCCTGAGACTTCCGGGTTCAGGCCCCTCCCCTCCAGAACTTTCTCCACTGCACCCTGACCCCAGCCTGCCACTGCCCAACAACCCCATGGCCTGCCTGAGCCCCTCGCAGCTCCAGAAGGTAGGGCCCTGGGACGGTGCCTGGGAGGGGCACTTAGCATGTGGGAGTTCTCCACGAGCCCCCAGAACTCAACACCCACCGTGCCATTTCTCAGAAGAAGAAACCAGCCTTTCTGGGTTCCTCTGCTGCAAGCCTTCGCTTCTGCACACCCAGCCCCAGGTGTCCTGGTCACAGCACACGTGGGACATGGGACGGCTGGGAACTGGAGGGGTGTGTGTGTGTGTGTGTGTGTGTGTACACCACTGAAGCCAGGATAATGTGTTAAGACTAGCCTTGGCCAGGAAGCCTGGGGAGGGAGAGTGGCCGAGGGGAACTCACCCTCCCGCAGACAATTGCAGATCCAGATGAGAAAGGCTTGTTGGGTATGTGGTGTTACACACTGATCCCAGCTCTCTGGAAGGGCGAGGCAGGGGATTGAAAGTTCAAGCCCAGCCTGGGTCACTTAGCAAGTTACTGTCTCAAAAAAAAAAAAAAAAAAGTTGGGAATGTAGCTCAGTGCAAAGGCCCTGGGTTTAATCCCCAAAATCTTTTTAAAAAAACAAACAAAACCCCCTAACACATGAAAATGAGAAGCGCTGCCTTTCGGTCCCTGTGGCAGCCAGGGAGTCAGAGAAGAGCCCTCTGCCGCTGTCTGCACGAAGCCAGCCTTCCGCCTCTCCCGGTGGTACACTGTCTCCATGGCTTCTGCAGTTGTGTTCTTGGGCTCTGCAGTACCAAACAAGGGCCGCGCACATGGGAGGCGTGCGTGCTAGCACCGGCCAGCTCACCAGCCCTCGGAGGGGTGTTATCAGCTGTATGTCCCAGACAGAGAAAACACACTTCATGGAGTGAGTCCCCCGAATACGCCGATCCAGGAAGCTTGGCTCCTCCATTGCCTTATCTTTTTATTTTTAATTTTTCCCTTTCTTTGCAGTGCTGGAGGTTGAGCCCAGTTCCTGTATATGCTAGGCAAGTGCTCAGCCACCACGCTGTGCCCTCAAACCTCTATTTCCTTAGTTATTTTTTTCCAATACTGGGATAGGATCTTTCGGAGTTACCTGGGTTGGGCTCAGACTTGCCATGCTCCCGCTTCAGCCACCACGTTGGCTATTCCTTTTCTTCTTTTTTGGTGCTGGGAGTTGAACTCAGGACCTTGCATGACTATTATGTGCTGTGCCCCTGAGCTATACCACTGGCCCTCCCTAATCGTAAATCCTCTCAGCACTTTGGGAGGCTGAGGCAGGAAGATAGCAAATTTGAGCTCAGGCTAGGCAGTTTAGCAAGATCTTGTCTGGAGATTAAAGGAAAAAAAAAAAAAAAAAAAA